AAAAAACACCTCCAGCTTTTCTTGAAAGGAACTCTCGAAGAAATTGTCCTCCTACCTACTGCGCCCTACTAGTCACTTTTTTTTTTTTTTTTTCTGTCGTCATTCGATACTGTGGCAGCCAGCCAATCTGAAAAGCTGTATTCCAAAAAAAATAATAAAAACAAATTCTCGTCATTCGATACTGAGCCAGCCAAAAAAAAAAAATAAAAAAAATACTGAGCCAGCCAGCCAGCCAAACTGGATATCTGTCTTAAAAAAAAAAAAAAAAAAAAAAAGTGTGACAGAGCTCTATACCGCCAATCAGACAAAATTTTACACCCCGCCCGCCACACTGAAGAACTCAATGGCCTCCTTCAGCCCCTCTATGAACATATCAATCTCTTCCTTGGTGTTATAGAAATACAGGCTTGCCCTCGCACTCGCATTTATTCCAAAATGTCGATGCAACGGTTGAGCGCAGTGATGTCCCGACCTTATTGCAAATCCCGACTGATCAAGAACCATTGACAAGTCCGTTGGGTGAATCTGTGGCACATTGAACGCGCACAGCGCTGCCCTTCCCCCCGGATCCGTTGGCTTTGGCCCGTAGATTTTCATCCCTTCCAGTTCTGCCATCTTCTTGTACAGGTATCCCGACAACTCCACCTCATAGTCGTGGATTTTGCCCATCCCGATCCCCATCAGGTAGTCGCACGCAGCACCCAGTCCTATCGCTTCACCAATTGCCGGGGTCCCGGCTTCAAATCGATTAGGTGGCTCTGCATACGTCGAGTGGTCGAGATAGACGTCCTGAATCATCTCCCCTCCCCCCAAAAAGGGTGGCATGGCCTTGAGCACCTCCATCTTCCCATACAAGAACCCAATCCCCGTGGGACCACACATCTTGTGCCCCGAGCCCACGAACCAATCGCAGTCCAAAGCCTGTACGTCGACTGGCATGTGAGGTACACTCTGGCACCCGTCCAGCAACACTTTGGCCCCGTACTTGTGCGCAATTTCCCCGATCATGACGGCATCATTGACGCATCCAAGCGCATTTGACACGTGTTGAAGTGCTACCAGTTTGGTCTTGTTCCCGACCAGCGACCTTAGGTGATCCATATCAAGGCTCTCACACTGCGACAAGCTCACAAACCTCAACACCGCCCCGGTCCTTTCGGCTATAATCTGCCAGGGAACAAGGTTGCTGTGATGCTCCATCACGGACAAGACCACCTCATCCCCTGGTGTCAAATTGGCCACACCCCAAGTGTTGGCCACGAGGTTGATAGCCTCCGTTGCATTGCGGGTGTAGATTATCTCGCTATCCCTCTCTGCGTTGATGAACTTTGCAATTTTGCCCCTCGCGTCCTCGTAAGCTTCGGTCGCTTTCACACTCAGCGTGTGGATGCCCCTGTGAACGTTGGAGTTGTAGTCTTGATAGTACCTCTGCACAGCGTCGATCACTTGACGTGGTTTCTGTGATGTTGCCGCATTGTCTAAGTAGACAATCCTCCTTCCATTCACTTCCTGACTGAGGATGGGGAAATCTTTGACAGTGATCTCTCCCAGACTGGTGGTGGTCCCCACACTAACAGCAGCAGCAGCAGCAGCAGCGGAAGAAGAAGGAGAAGAAGGAGAAGAAGAAGATGCATCATCGACGGACGAGATCGCAGCAGCGCATCGGATCAAGGTGTTGATGACCTTGACCTTTCGTCTCGATCGCGGCGGCGCGACGCCGCCAAAGCCTGAATAGGGAGTTTTGCTATAGCAATAGGCAGCAGCAGCAGCAGCAGCAGCATTGTCTTGTCCAACATCATCTGGTATAGAAGCACCCTGTGCAAAGCCCGGACCCTTGGTGACCCTTTGAGCGGCCGTCGGCAGACGAAATCGACTGCCTTTTGCTCCAACGCGATCCCTTCTCTCCCCTTTGGCTATCCCGGCAGTCCCCTCCACGTTATTGCTGCGACAGCTTGGCCTGCACCACCTCCTCCTCCTCCCCCTCCCATGCGCCGTCATATCCTCGGCGGCTCGAAGCGCCGGCGCCATGCATCCCGTCGGCGGATAGCAGCGGTTCGATGCGCGCTCCTTGCCAACGGCATCTGATCTATACCGCCGCCGGCAGCGGCCGGCTGTGAGAGCGGTCACTGTGAGATCGAAGGATGGCAGGGGGTCGGCGCGCGCTTCTTTGCGGCGGCGGGGGGCCGACTTGCGCTCCTTGGCGGCGGCGGCGGGAACCAAGATGACCCTGTGAACTACTTCGCCGCTGTGAGAGCGGCAACTGGCTGATCTTGATAACGAGGACAACGATGAGGAGGAGGAGGGTGAGGAGGAGGAGGATGCGCATGACCGCGCGGCGGCAAATCTACACGGAGAAAAGGAGTTCGTACTGCGGTCAGGCATTGCCCGCGGCTGCGCAGTCCGCTGGACCCATTGCATGGTGATCGGCGGCGCTGCTACAACTTTGCCGCTGGCCAGTCGAGGAGACGACGGTGATGGCAACATAGACGCTCCGGCCAACGAGGGGGCAGTCGCAGTGGACGCCATCTTCGCTCCTCCTTTCACTCTACGTGGAGCTCGACGAACCCCACCACCGCCCGCCGAGCGGGGTCCCCCGTCTGTCTAACAACACTCCCCCCCCTCTCCCCCTCCCCCCCCGCCGCCCACTTTTCTCAGCTTTGCTCTTCACGGGATCAACCGCTCCATTGCCGGACGGAAGCGCTCTCCGAACACTTGTCGCTAGGTAGCTCGTCTTATTCACGCCTTCTTATGAGGTCCTACCAATCTAATCTCTACCCAGAAGATTCATATTTCAACCAAACCAAAGGACCCCTTCTGCCCATCTAAAAAACCTCTATCCAGGAGAGTATATATAAATATTTTTTCAACCAAAGTACCCCTCCGATTACCTCCAATTGATTGTGAGTGTTCTTCCATTCCCCGTTCTCTCGACAGGCTCGCGGATGCACACACACTTCCACTTCCACTTCCACTTCCATAATCTCCTACTACCACTAGAAATGGGGCCTCGCTGCACTACTCTTGAAATGCACAAACGACAAAAATCATGGCCGTGTATGTTTCCATGTTCTAGCGGAAGATTCACTCTCGTTTTGCACATTTCGCCAGTAGTGCAGCGAGGCCCATGGTCCGCTGCGCCATAGAAACGTATGCGCTGATGTCTCCCTGCCACCCTGTCTCTCTAGAGAGAGCACGTGCGTGCAGCTTCCATCGATTCCCTACCCTCGACTGCCACGTCAGATCAATTTCGGCTGGGGCTCTCGCACCGCCTCTTGGTGTTGTCACTCTAGGACTTTTTTTTCGACTGACCCGTGGACGTGATTGCAGTCAGGTGCATCCAGGTCCGGCCGTTCGCCCTAAGTGCAGTACAATGCATCCAGGTCGGGCCGTAATGGCAGTCAGATGCATCCAGGTCGGGCCGTCATTGCAATCAGATGCATCCAGGTCGGGCCGTAATTGCAGTCAGATGCATCCACGTCGGGCGGTAAGCGCCGCAAGATGCATCCAGGTCGAAGGCATCCAAGTCGGGGTGTAATCGCAGTCAGATGCATCCCGGTCTGGCCGTAATTGCAGTCAGATGCATCTGGATCTGGCCTTGTTGCAGTCAGATGCATCCACCTCTGGGCGTTACCGGTAGTGTTAGTACGTCCTCTGTATCGTTCCAAACGTCTTTTTTTTTTCTTTTTTTTTTTTAACTTTATATTAACCAAATGAACATTGGACGAGGCCGGGGACCCCACAATTCTACCCGGTGGAACCTGTTACTGGAAACCGGGTCCAGCGTCCCTTTGGGCTAGGCTGGAAAACGGGTCCAGCGTCCCTTATCTCATAACCAGCAATAATCACTGAAAATAATCAACTCCGAATGAATGCAGGTTCAACTTTGTACTGTCTGGCGAACCAGTCCTATTTTGTACAGTCCTTTATGTATCCCTGTTTAATGCTGCCTACAATAATCTCAGTCCAGTAGGCTGTCTGAAAGGATGAATAAACTCATTCTTATAGGACAGCACAGATCCAACCCATTAGTTAGCAGTCTCCCAAGCTCTCAAACTGGGGGCAGTGCTCTACTACCTCGTCCCATAGATGCTTGGAGATCACCAACTGTCCTTGGTCTGTAAAGGAAATCCATTTGAACTTCTTGTTCCAGGTAGTCTTCATACTATTTCTAGCAGCAGGACTATTTCTTGCCCCTTTGGCTCTGCGTATCTTCACCCATTCTGCGCATATTAGATTCCGTAGTGCAATTTTAAACTTATTACGGATGACTGCTGGGGACCAGAAGTTACTATTGAACCTCCTGTCCCTTCTTGCTATCCGAAGTACCCAAAAACCCAACACCCTGAACTTGTTGGCTATAATAGTAACTTGATCCTTACTTCTGTTTCCATATAGGATAAATTCCTTGGTCCAAAATACCTTTGGGCCATAAGCAAGCTGCCACAAACTGCTCACCCATTCCCAGAATCATCTAGCCACAATGCATTCCCACCATAGGTGGCTCGAGTCTTCCAGTGATTCCTGAACACAGACATCACACTGGGGAGAGATATCCATCCCTTTGCTTACGCACCAATCTGCCGTCGGTACGCACGAGTGGAGATGCATCCACTGTAGGCTGGCTACCTTCACTTCCATAACACTGAGAAGTAAGGTAATGAAAAATTTGACCCATGTGTTGTTGAAGAGGGGACCGTTAACGGGTGCTCCCCTCTTCCTCCAACTGTTCCAGACGTTAATCTGTAAAGTAGATGCCTTAGATCTTAAGGAATAGCCTACTTTGGAAGAGTAGTCTGAGAGCAAGATATTGGAAGAGGATGAGGAGTCGTCGGACAGAATCCAGCCTATCCTCCCTATATCTACTTTCCATGTCTCCTTCGGTGAGCCCTCCATTACGAGTTTGAACTGCCGCTTGCCCTTGTGTGCGCATTCTGATACTCCAATTTCCAGCCATTCCTCATCATCCTGGAGGATTACTCCTCCGGTTTGTTTAATCAGAAATTTTCTGCCCCTGGTCCATACTGAGGCCGTTGACGGGGGCAATTCTATTTGATAGAATGTCCCCTCGCAGCCTACCTTTTTCCACCATGTTCCTGCATGTTTGCCGTGATCGTCTTTCTTGATTACTTGAGTCCACTCGTCTGGTATGGCCTCAGTCACCAATCTCTGTGTTGCTCAATGTTGCGGAGTCCTCTCAGTTTACTTCTCAATTCTTCTGCTGTCTTCCACTGGCCTCTGTCTTTGTCCCATAGATGTTGAATCTGGCATACCCCCTTCAGTAGCCATTTCCTCGCAAAATTGCCAGGTTTATTTGCCACCGAAAAGGGCTTGCCCTCAGGATCAGTGATAGCTGGATTATCGAATAAGCATGTATGGAAGATTTCACTTTTAGTAGAGGGGTGTGTTATGGTGTATGGGAGAAGCCTGCTCCACGCCTTAAGTATAGGTGCCCATGTAGGCGATTTCACTGAGGAAGTTAGTGGGTGCATGAGGATGGCTTGCCATACCGATTCGGGGTCAGTCAAGTTTCAATCTTTGCACAGGAGAGCTTGTGCCAAGATCATCCACGGCTGTGTACATTGGGATGTGAGTAATCTCACCGGCCACTTGGCTAATAGGGCGTCATTCTGTTTCTCCGGGTCATGGATTTCCAGGTCCCCCTGGGTTTTTTTCTCCGTCGGTTTCCACCATGCTACTTTACTGATACAGGACTCTAGTCCTGAGTCTCCTTTCCATATATACCTGGTGAGAAGTTCGCGGATGAGTTTGGCTGATCTCGGGTTCAGTGCCCTTATGGACAGGATGTACCATACTGTGGATAACACTGCACAGTTTGTCAGGATCGCCCCTCCAACAATGGACGCATAACAGTTCTTTGAGCGTTTCGTACAAGCTTCCCTGATTCTGTTTTCCACGAGACTATCCTGTACCTGAGAGCAATCCCCGAAGGAGACCATTATTCCCAGGTACCGTTCAGAGTCTGTATTCCTTGTGGCCTTGATGCCCAAGTCCACAGCTAGGGGCCTATTATCTGCCGTTAAAGCAGTTGACTTATTCCAGCTGATTTTCATTTCCGAAGCCGATTCATATAAAGACAGACACTGTTTCAGGGCACTTAGTGATGCATGGGAATTTTCGGTAATTGCTGAAAAATCATCTGCCAGGGCAGAAACCTTCAGCTGGTAGCTTGGTGAGATTCTCAGACCAGTGTAATCTGCATGGGTTCTGATCATATTCAGTAGTATCTCCAATTGGATCACAAAGAGTGAGGGGGCCAGGGGGCACCCCTGCCTCAGTGACCTTGTAATCGTGAAGGGGTCCGAAATGTGGCCATTGATTACTACCCTGCCGTGGGATCCATGGTACAGAGAGTCTACCCATTTTCTAAACACTTTACCGATACCCACCTTCTCAAGGACAGCTTGCACGAACTTCCAGTTTACCCTATCATAAGCTTTTTCAAAATCTATCAGTATTATTGCTGTGTTGGAACCCGTGTTGTTTATGAAGTCTATTGCCTGCGAGAGAACCATAACATTATCCAATACCAGTCTCCCACGTACAAAACCTGACTGGTCAGGATTAACTAGTCTAGTCATGAAGGGGGCTAAACGTCTAGAAAGTGTCTTGGCCAGAATTTTGTCGGCGACATTAAGAAGCGAGATAGGGCGGTAATTTCTAACGTCTGATCTCTCACCTTTCTTATATAGGAGTGTTATCACTCCCTCTGTGGATCTTGCCCCTAATTTTTTTTCCTGTAGTATGCTGTTAAAAATTATCAGTAAGTCTGGTCCCAATAGGGACCAGAACATATCGTAGAACTCTATAGGGAATCCGTCTGCGCAAGGGCACTTCCCCCTGGCCATACTTTTCATTGCTGAGGTTAGTTCGGGCCAGGTGATGGGTTGGTCCAATTCCTCTTTTTCCAGTTCTGAAATTATTCTGTGGGTGGATTCCCATAGACTCCCCTCTAAGTCGGGGGGAACCAGTGGATCCGCAGGGTCCTTATCAGAGGTTAACAACTTTTTATAAAATTCTTTGCCGTATTCACATATAGAGAGTGAGTCCTTTGCTTTCGGGTTGGTCTGAGAGAAAGGGTGGGAGATTTCAGTTATTGTTGGAGAGTTACTGTGCTCTCCCTTGAGTGAAAAAGTTTGTTTATTCATTCGGTCTTTCAAGAGGATCGCGTCTATCTGTCGGAATTTAGCCCATGATTCATGTTTGATTATCAGTTTATCTCTCCACTCTTGTATCCATAATGGTTGGGATCTCTTGAGGATCCAATAGTTGTCTGAGAAAGCATTGTTCTCAAGTCTGCTTTCTGCCATTTCTATGTTCCTCTTTAGTTTGATTACTTCATATTTCCTGTTTATTGCCTTCAATCTAGATATTGTTTGTAGCATGGCAGACATCATGTGTAATCCTTTGTCTAGCCAATTGCCCGGGTCAGGGAAAATTTTGGTTGAATACCGCCATTCTTCCCAGTGGGAATAGACCCATTCAACCATGTTTGGGTCCTCCAATATCTGCACGTTGAGTTTGAAAGTGCCTTTGCCTTTTTCAATTTTGGCTCCTACAGCCATTGACAGTGAAATGGGTTTGTGATCTGAGAGTGGGTCCTGAGTTATTTCTGCTTTTGTGATCATTGGGAGAAT